ATATGGAAATCTGTAAATCTTTTTATTTCATATATTAGAGGATGAACAAAAATATCCACCATCTATATTTTATATCAGTAGACAGATACACAATGTGTGTGTGAGAGAGAGAGATCCATAAAATATATAACACACATAAAACCATGTTGAGATTGTAATTGAAAAAAGCAAGAATATTTTGCCTTTGAAAGTCACAAATATATTTGATCTCAAAATATCACAAAACAATCATTAGATTCATTTGTACTCGGCATTTTTGACACCTTTCATGTTGCCCAGTAGGATGGACATAAAATCTCAGCCGGAAATTGATCACTGTGGGGGCCAGGAGTCTTTGGGGCAGACGCCCCCATTTCAGTGGGGGAACCTTGCTTAAAAAACGGCTGCAGTTGTAACGTTATTTCTTTTAAAAAAAAAAAGTTTCTTCAACCCTGTGATGGAGTTGTAACTTAAAGATCGCATTAATGACTGGTGGGTGAGGTCATAGCTTTGAGTGGACCTGATTCTGTTGGTGAGCGAGACACGTTTTGGGGCTTCCAGACAGCTCCTCTTCGGCGGCGTGTGAACTCGAAAGCTTGTCTCTTTCACCAGCAGAAGTTGCTCCAGTAAAAAATATGACCTCCCCCACCTTCTCTCTCTAATATCCTGGGACTAACAGGCTACAGCCGCACTGCGTGTGATGCCTGTTACTGGAGTGCTGAGCGTGTGAAATGCACACAGTCATGCTAACACGTGCGTCCCCGCATGTGGGGGGTTGGATCTCGTTCAAAGTTTGGCGTTGATGTAGGAGTGATTTCGCCCCCACCACCAGGACCGCGCGCTGCTCCGCTTTTGACAAGTGTGTTTACACCAGCCAACGCGCTTCGCTTGTTCTGAGCCCACACTGCACCTTGCTCGGGGGACTCTCCGCGTTCCCCAGTGGTCAATCTACGCTGACGAATGAAAGGGCTCTCTGCTGTAAACCGTGTCTGGTCACAGGGCTTCTTGACCTGCAGAATTCCCGGCTCAAAGGGACTTTATCAATGGCTTCGGCTCCCTCCCTCCTTCGCCACTGACTAGACCCACTGGGGTCTTTGTAAACCGCGTGGTCAACTTTACAGAAACGTCGTGGGGGATTAATTCTTCGCTTCGTTCTGCACGTTTGGGTCTAGCAGTAGTTGAACTGGGGGGAGAGGGAGGGCAGGGTTTAGGCCCTTTCAAGCGCTCTGAAGAGCGATTTAAAAATCCGCGTGGATCCGGTTCTGTGGTTCTCCTGACAGTCCAAGTTTAAAACCTTTCCTCTCTGTAGGCCTGGATTATCCTAGCAGCACCCTTCCCCCCCTCCGCATATTCACTCTCGCCATTGACCAGGCCCTGGTCCCGATCCCGATCCTGCTAGGGTGTAAGCACGTGCTTTAGCGCGTGGAATCAAGGGGACTGCTTTCAGCATCGGGGCCGTTATTCGGCCCCGGGTCTACCTGGAAACATGAGCGGTGACTATGCAGGGGTCCTGTCCCCTTCACTGAACAGACGTGGGTGGGTCTGGGGGAAGCCCCCCAAACTGTGTTGCCGGTTGAGGCCCATAAGGGGCGACACCGGGGAGGCAGCCAGTCGTGGTACCCTGGCTGGAGAGGGTGCAGGGCCCAGTTTGGGGTGGTGCTGGTGCCGGCCGGACCTGGCGCATTGTCCCACCGCTGTACCGGGCGCCGCTCTCAGGTCACCAATAAAGTGCATTGGTGTAAACAGGACGGGCAGAGCCCATATGATTCCTAACTGTTGCTTTCTGACTCTCTTCTTCCCTCGAGTTATACTCTGCAGCTCATAGACGGGACGGGAATGGGATTACTCCGCTAATTTTACAGCGCATTGATTGATTCACGCACCGCTAATTCCGCCATTGGGCACAACAGCTATTCCTTGCGATGGGACATTGCGAACCATCTTTTCAAATAGTCACCCGATCTCCTGGCATTAAGAATCAGACAGGAGTCAAATTTTATAACAGCTTCCAAGAAACTTTGTAGGCAGTCGCAAAAGCTTTGCAGGGGGAAATATGTTCACTAACCCGAAAAGACGAATGGGACAGATAAGAATATTTATTTTCTAAATCAGCCTTTTTATTGTCATGATAGAAGAGACAAGAGATGATCTGCATAGTAAAATGTTGCATCGGTTGTTGGCTATCTTTGGACATGTTTAAATACAATTGATTTCAGGTTAGTCTCACACTGGCATGGGGCAAATTAAAATACAGGATGAAGCTAAATCTGAAATTTAAAATTGTTGCCAATTTTCATCTGGCTCACTTTTCGCCATTCAAAATAAAAGAGCTTTTGTATAATGGTCCTATAATTTCAACTGCCTACTGATTTTTCGTTGCATACATACAGTCAAGATCATTAAAACACACAAAACGCAGGACTAAATAGCTAACTAACCAGAGTTCATCTTAATTTGTTTAAACGATTATTCAAAGCAAATAAGTGTAAACACCAGAGAATCGTTCTCACATCCGAGCCTGTCTTATTTTAGATCTGTAGTTGACTAATCAAAATATTTGGCACTGTTGATTAAAATAAAGGTGATTAAAACTGTCAAATCTGTTGCGAAACGTGGGGAAAATGTGCTTTAAATAATATCTTTATAGAGCTAAAATATTTAGATATGATCATGTCCTTTAAGGAGGTTAAATTTCGGGAGTCATATTTTTCAAAACAAACAACCAAAGGTTAACTCCACCATAGCATAAGTAGTGTTTGTTTTCAGGTCGATTTTCCACCCTCCAACAGATGATCATTTGCCAGAACAGAATAACTATTCAAACACTCATTGGATTACTAAATACACAAATAGTGTAGATCCCACCGAGTTTGCAAAGAGAATCTCGACACCAGTCACCAATATCAAAGTGGAAGTTTTCTTTATTGGTTTTTAAAGTTACACCGTTTTATTCCCCCATCGGTAGAAGCGGCGAGCAGGGGTGAGACCGGCGAAGTGTGTTTTTCTGCTGTGCTCAGGAAATCAGGTGGCAGTTTTTCTGGCGCTCCAGGGCTGGCTGCAGGCTACTCACTGCGCGGTGTTCCTGGGAACTATCTCTGGTTTGTTTCGCGGCGCGAAGCGAGCTTGAGGAGTGCGGTGCTAATTATTATTATTTAATATGCGTCTATCCTAGTGCTTCAATGCAGACCAGGACACCGCCCTGGGGAGGTCCCCTCTTCCTTGTGAATTAGCATCATTATCTTTATTGTCTCTCTTTTACAAGAAGAAAACGACAGCGCGGTGCATCTCCTCGGTGTAACTGCGTGACCGCTTCGCTCGGGTCAGACGATATTTAAAGTTCCCAGTCATTTTTTTATCCACCCCCTCCCCCCGTGGAGTGGTTGGTTCCCAGCGCCCACGCCGGAGTCTGCTCACACGCCGATGTCAATCCGCAGTGATCCCCCCGCTCCCCCCCTGGGCGCAGCTGAGAACAAAACTCTTTAGGGTCTCACCCGGTTGAAAGCTCTTGTTCACACTGCGTGCACCGCTCAGCCCTCCGCCTTCCCCGGGTAGCCCTTGGGTTTTGTTTCTTATTCTGGGTTTGAGCAAAGCAAACTGTGGGATGCAGGGGAAGGGGGGGGGCGGGGAGGATGCGATCAGTCAGCAGAGGAGCACGGCTCTGATGCCCCCCCCCCTACATCCACCCTTGTGCTGTAGGGGGCCAGAGGGAGCGGTGAGGCGGCTGCAGGAGCGCTATGCCTTTAAGAAGCTCCTGACCCGGATTGTCCTCGCAGGTGTGGGTGCTGGGGGGGCAGAAAGAGGGCGGTGGAGGAAGGCCCTTTGATTGACAGCCCCCTCGAGCCTCCCCCACAAAGTTTTTCTTTCACTCCAAGGGGACTTTGCTGTTGCCATGAAAACGGATTTTGGCAAGCACCCGCCCCTCCCCCTGGGGCAGCCAACTGGAAAAAGTAAAGTGGCAAAGAAAGGAAAGGAGGTGGGGGGCTGGGCAGTGCATGCCAGGTTACCCCCCCCATGCACCCCACTTCCCAGCTACCAGGGAGTCCGGTCAGATCCCAGACAACCAGCCCCCGCCCCCCCCCTCCCCCCAGCTCGGCAAGCCATGCTGGGGGCCACACTGTGAGCCATAACTGGGCTTCAGCTGGGGCTGATGTGTCCTTGTGTAACCCGAACAACAAAGAGCCATGCGGCGCGGGGAGGGGGTGCATTTGTAGTGCATGGGGAATTGCAGCACCCCCATCCTTTGATCGGGGAGCCGGGATCCGCCGCCACCCTTCAAGATACCCGGGGGAGAGGAGGGGAGTGGAGAACCCTTCCCTAGGGAGAGCTGGGCTCGCCCCTGCCCTCCTTGATCCCGCCATCAATGGGGCTTGGGGGGTGAGCTGAGCTCCGCTGCGGCAGCCCCCGGCCGGGTCATTTCGGGGCTGCTCGCTCCCCTGCACGGGAGCAAGTCCCCGCGATCGCGACCCCCTTTGTGCCCCGCACACGAACGCAGCCCAGGGACCGCGCAGCCCTTCGGCGCCCTCCCGCCGCGGGGAGCGGAGGTTCAATTCCCCCCCCCACACACACACACACACCCTTGTGCGGCCGGGGCCCCCGCAACCAGCAGCGAGATGCCCCTGCCCGGTTCCCTACGCCTGGGGGCGGGTGGATCTAAAACAAACCGGACCAAAAGTGGCCTCCTCCCCCAGTTCTGCAGGGGGTAACGTGGGGGGAGGGGCCGGGGCCCCTGGTTTCAGCGCGGGGGGGGGGTGCGAACGGGAGCCCCCTAAACTGCAACTTTTTTTTTAACCAGCTGGTCAATTACCATCCGTCAGGGCCTGTCGGGAGCCGCGCGCTGATTGGCTGCCGGCTGCTCATTTATAGGCCGTCAATCATCTCCCCCGGCACTGGGAGCTCACCGAGGCGGCGGCTAGAGGGGGGGAAAAGCGCCCGGCGAGCCCCGAGTTGAGCCGCTTGCAGCCGCCGCCGCTCGCGGGGGAGGAACCTCGCAGCAGCCCGGTCCCCGGCCTCACCTGCCCGCCACGCTGGCGCACCTGCTGCCCGCCCCGGCCATGTACAGCATGCTGGAGGGCGAGCTCAAGAGCCCCCAGGCCGCCCCGGGCGGCGCGGGGGGCCCGGCGGGGGCTGCGGGCAAAGGCGGCGGCGGCGGGGGAGCGAGCGGCGCGGGCGCGGACCCGGACCGGGTGAAGCGGCCCATGAACGCCTTCATGGTGTGGTCGCGGGGCCAGCGGCGGAAGATGGCCCAGGAGAACCCCAAGATGCACAACTCCGAGATCAGCAAGCGCCTGGGGGCCGACTGGAAGCTGCTGGGCGACGCCGAGAAGCGGCCCTTCATCGACGAGGCCAAGCGGCTGCGGGCCGTGCACATGAAGGAGTATCCGGATTACAAATACCGGCCCCGCCGGAAGACCAAGACCCTGCTGAAGAAGGACAAGTACTCGCTGCCCGGCAACTTGCTGGCCCCCGGCGGGGCCGGCGCCGTCAGCAGCCCCGTCGGGGTGGGCCAGCGCCTGGACACCTACGCCCACATGAACGGCTGGAGCAACGGGGCGTACTCGCTGATGCCGGAGCAGCTGGGCTACGGGCAGCACCCGGCCATGAACAGCCCCCAGCTGCCGCAGATGCACCGCTACGACATGAGCGGGCTGCAGTACAGCCCCATGATGTCCACCGCCCAGTCCTACATGAACGCGGCCTCCTCCTACAGCATGTCCCCCGCCGCCTACGGCCAGCAGCCCGGCGCGGCCATGAGCCTGGGCTCCATGGGCTCGGTGGTGAAATCCGAGCCCAGCTCGCCGCCGCCGGCCATCACCTCCCACTCCCAGCGGGCCTGCCTGGGGGACCTGCGGGATATGATCAGCATGTATCTCCCGCCCGGCGGGGATGCCACAGACCCTTCCAGCCTGCAGGGCAGTCGGTTGCACAGTGTCCACCAGCACTACCAGAGTGCCGGGACGGGGGTCAATGGCACGGTACCGCTGACTCACATCTGAGACTGCTCTGCCCTCAACACCACCTAACCCGGCTCCTGGGACAGCTGGTTGCTCGCTTGAGCGGACTCGCACTCAATGCAACGCCCCGGGAAGACTTTTTCAAAGGAAGGTTCGATGTCGCGTGTGTTTTTTTTTAAAAAAAAAAAAATAGGGGGTGTGTGGACTGGTTTTCTCTAATAGAGCACAAATGTCTCCTGGGAAGTTTTAAAACCGCAGCCACTTCTTTCCTGGTTTCTGATAGGTTGGCTCTATTTTATTCTTTTAAAAAAAAAAATTGCAAAACCCGTTTTAAAGGTCTTGTCTATTTCAGTTTGAGTGTAGCGGTGGAATGGACACGTGGCGGGCTTTCTCCAAGCTCCGATGTTTACATTTTTGTTTGTCGCCTTTTTATTTTTAAGTGCCCCTCTCCCTCCCTCGCCCCGTGTCCTGCTCGAGGTTTTATCCGAATCCGTAACTTCCACGACCTCTCCACGGGGGTGGGGTGGGGGGAAGAAGCTGTGCGGGTCGCAAACGCAAGGTCTTTTTTTTAACTTATAGTAAGTTGTGTGGTTTGGTTTTTATTCTCTTAAGCTTGTAAACTTCTGTAAATCGGTTTGTGAATTTGACTGTGATACCGTTTTGACATAGCCCCCCAGGCAACAAACGCTTTAGTTTTCTCTCCGGTTTCTTAAAAGACTTTATCCTGTGAAACACTTCTCTCTTTTCCTACCCCCCCCCCCCCCCCCCAAAAGATCAATAAATTTTATAACGGGCACCTCCCCCGTCTCCTGGCGATTTGTATGTTGGGGTAGGCGGCCCCCCAGTACCCTGCTCAAAAACTCAGCATAAATGCCTCCAGCGAGCGGGTTACTTGGGACACAGGTAAATGCCGGGACTAGAAAACAGCGCGGTGAGGTTTAGACCGTCGCTTTAAAGCGCAGAATTCCAGATTGCTGTGCGAAAGGTGAAATCCGCTTCCCTTGGGGGTAAACGCTTAAAACGAGGGCTTTAAAAACCGATCCGGTCCTGCCCAGCAGCTCTCGCAGCACGGATCTCACCGCGCCTAGGCGTTGTGTTTGGAAAAACTGGAAGTCCCTTGGGTTTAATTTCCCGTGCGGGGGAAAGTAGGAGTGAGGAAGCAGAGCGGGTGGAGATTTATCTACCCACCGACTCGCTTATTTTCAAAAGTACGAGCCACTTGTTGCCTCTCCAACGAGGCATTTCGCGTTCCCGGTGTGGCGGCTGAAAGGTGCGGGTTTAAATTCTGTCGGAGGTGGGTTGTGCACCCAGGCAAGCTGAGCTACTTACCGACCTAAACCCGCTCGGAGAAATCTTCATTCGATGGTATTAAAAATGGATGGTTACAGGAGTCCGAGGGGAAATAAATAATGTAATCTTTTCGGGCTGGCTGGCCTCGTATTTTTAGTCTGCACAACCACTCCCAGCAGGGTCTTGGCTGTAGGGTTCGCAGAACCGCTAACCGGTTCCCACTTCGTTTATCCTAAAACTACAGCCGTTAGCTCGTACCTAAAGTCGTTTTAAAATGATAGGAGTACCGTTTAGGTATACACCGAGCTGTCTCCGTGTGTTTTGAAAACCGAATTAACGCCATTTCGTTCGCGCAGTAATTCACTCCTGGCGGTTTATCAAATTCATACCAAATCTTCATGGTTGTGTTAAGTTTAACTGATGTTGCCTTGACTCATTTTCCTGCTCCTTTCGCGTTTGGCACCTGTTACTCTGTATTTCTTAGGGCAGTGGGAAAACAAAATCTCTCCCGTGGCTTGAGTCTGTTTTACGCCAACCTTGCTGTGACTTCTTCCATCTTCTGCGTGAGAGAGTTTTATTAGCCAAAGCTGTTGGAAAACCAAAAATCCTGGCGTTTACACGAGGCTGGTTCGAGCCGAGTATTTCTAAGCCTGTTAATTTGACTAATATCTCCTAGCTCTTAACTGGCTTTCCTAAAGGGGGAAAAAAGGATTTTGGAGAAGTCGGGGGGCGTCTTTTGTGAATCTCACACAACGATGAACTCCACTTTCTCTGTGCTGCACTGCACAGGAGTAAGGCTAAAACATTTCCCCTCGCCCCTCAAACAAAACAAAAGCGTGAATAACTCTTCTCTCTTCCCCCCCCCCCCCCCAGCTGCAATTTACCCACTAGGGGTAAATTTCCACCCAACTCGAGAAGTGCGATTCTCGCGGGGAAGCTCGGTAATTAATTTCAGACTTTTCCTTGTAGCCACAAGTTTGCCTGGCTAACGACCGAAGGCTTTTAAACCCTCCTTTGCAGCAGGAGCGCGGCGGGGCCCTGTGTCTGCTCAGGCCCAGAAGGGGCTGTAGCGCTCTGGTCAATTTCGCGGGGTTCCACCCGCGTTTAGGGGTAACAGGCGCACGGCTTTATTTTTAAATAACACCTGGTTTATACGGAGATCTCGCCTAAACCTAGCGTCCATTTGCGCCTTCCTTCCCCGGGCTGGTTCCTAGAGAGGTTGGGGGTTTTCTCCTGTGGCAACACCCTCTCCCCGCCCGATTAAAGAAGAAACGCCGCCTGCTGTAATTACTTTTAAGAAAAGAGGATTTATTTATTTTTTTTACCCTCCTCCTTTAGGCCCCTGTCCCCCCCCCCCCCCCACCTGAGTCTCCTGTATGCTTTGTGTTTGTTTCTGGATAATCGTAGGCAAGGGAAAGTACACGAGACAAAACAAGAGTGGGCGCCAATCTGCCCCCAGGCCCCACCGCCCTCAGCTGTCTGCAGAGGGACGATCTCTCCCTCCCCCTCTCTTGCAGCCCCCAGCCTGCGGAGACTAAAACACTTTGCGCACACACTTGATATTAAAATATTGTGCAGATAAACCATGAGTAGTGGGGGGGGGGACTTTTCAGCTTGGAAAACCTGACGCATCTGCTTCTAAACGCAGACCCCCCCCCCCCCCCTGTACCCTCTCCTTTTCTCAGCGCTCTCCCTACCCACCCATTGCCCTGCTGGCTTTGAAATCGGGCCCCCGGGGCAGGGAACCCGCAGTGTCTCACCCCACCGTCGGGGTGGAAGCATTCGTGCAAGGAGAAAGCAGCACTCTCCTCGCCTTTGTAACCCAGGCCCTGGAGCTCCTGGGTCGGTGATAAAGGGGCAGACCAGGCCAGTCGGGCTGGGCTGCAGATCTCATCTCTGCTGGGAGCGAACAAGCTGTGCGAAATCACTGCCCCGGGGTGGTTTTCTATAACCCGCGGACAGAACAGCACAATCCCTTTGTGACGAAAGGGTGCGGGGTCCTCCCCCAGAACGGCTCCCTTCTAAACCAGATCGCATGTAATCACCCACGCGAGGACGTCAGACGCCATTCAGACCTAGTGTAAACAGGTGAAACTCCGCTGGGATGACAACTGCTTTCCCGAGCTCTGACCTAACTCCTGTAATTCTGCCCCGTTATAAATGGATTCAGAGTAAGCCAGGCGCACTGGTTCTTTTCCTCCCACGATATTTCCCAGGATGTAGGGGTTCAACTCACACAGAGGTTCCCAGCGCTCTAGTTTCTGGGGGTGGAGGGGAATCTTCCCTTCTTGTAGAAGAGGGATACAGAGCCAGGCTGATGCAGTTGGGTCAGTGAGGGAGGAAGGCGGAAAAATTCCCCCCAACCTTGCTCCCCTAGGGAGGGGGGTGCTGAAGCTGCCCCCATCACACTGGCATTTCCCAGACCTGAGGGGACAGTAGCAAACTGGAAGAGAAAACTTGACCTGCAGCTTTTCATCTTTCCTGGGGGCTGCCATTTCTCATGCTCCGTCTCAGCCCACAGCCCCCCCAACAAACCAAACAACTCCGTAAAACTGGTTCTTAGGCAAAGGGGAAGGGGGAAAAACTTCCCTTGCACACAACTAAAACATTTTGCTTGTGCTGGGATTTGTTTTTAAACTTCAAAATTACTCTGAACAGAGGCACCAATTCTGATCTCAGACAGGCCAGCATGTCCCTTTAGGAACTCCAGTCCGGATTCATCCTGGTGTCACCGGGATCAGCACATTCTCAGCGAGGGCTGGTGCTTTGGAAATAGGAGACATCGGATTAACAAATTAAACAGTGCTTCTATATCGTGATGCCAACTTTTCCCAACCTAGTGCTAAAAATTTCCCAAATCTGGTGAAAAATTCCCAGACTCTTTACCAGTTTGGGAATTTTTTGGCGCTAGCCAGTGCTTCTATAGCCTGGGACATTTCCCAAAATGTGTGAATTTTTGAGTAAAATGTTTCACCTTGGGAAATTGCAGGGCACATGCTGTTAAAAATTCCCAGATTTTGGGAAATGTCCCAGGCTATAGAAGCACTGAAATTAAACTCTAAACAGTTCTAAATGCTGCGGAGTGTGACTGCTTTGGAACTCACTAATGGATCTAATCCTGCCAGGTGCTGAGCGTCTGCCCCTCCCACGGAGGGTTTATGGCCCGTGAAATGCTTAAGCGCTAGATACTCACAATTATATAATCAGGTGTTTTCACAGCCTTATTCCCCTGTACCATTTCTTTCAACTCCAGTGCAGGTGAGTCCAGCATCCCTGGCAAATTGGATTGAATATCAGAAGTGCCTTGGTTAATAGTGTTAGCATGTAAATGTGGTAACAATATTTAACCTGCTGCATTAACAACCTGTTGAAAGGAAGAGGGGAAGATTCCACTTGGTGCTGCTCAGTCTGCAGAGTCCAAAAAACCGCAGCATCTTGGGTTACATTTTGAAGACTATCTCCTCCCCCAGAGGGCTGTAAAGTGCATTTGATGTAACAAAAACAGTAAGTGAAACTGTTTTTCAATTTAAAAATTAGGTGTGGAGAGGGGGTAAAAAATCATGGAAAATTAGCAGAGGGATCAAGCAAACAGGCACTGGTAAAGAATGCCTGTAGGATTTTGAGATTTCTTTTTTCACTCACTTTCCCTGTTTCTAATGCTCCTTTCTATAGGGAGAGATGAATGTTAAGTTCAGTGTGAAAAGGCATTTGATTAACAGACATAAATCTAAAGTATTTGTTAGATCCGGGTA